CATTCAGGGTGCATATGAGTCCTTCACGGAGCTAATTAGATCGGAGATGGAAGGTAAGCTCACGAGTACACCAAGGAACAAGGAAGTACCATTAAGCAGGAAATCTAAATATAAACCCTACTGGAATGATGCACTAGCTTTACAGTGGACAGCGGTATGTCGGGTGGAGAAGGAGTGGTTACAGTATAATGGAAGAAACGCTACGAGGAGAAAACTTAAGGAAACTTTTTGCTCTGAGCGTAAAATTTTCGACCGGTTAAATAGAAAATGTTAACGACAATACCAGCGTAGTGAACGTCGGAAAATTCATGAACAATTATCTAGCGACTCGCCACAAGATTTTTGGAAGTCTATCGGAAGTGTAGGAATAGTAAACAAACGTAAACAACAAATCCCGTGCGCGGTAGTGGATGTTAATGGTCAGGTTCTCACTGATAAAACGGAGGTACTGGAAACTTGGAGAAAGGAGTTTGGAAATCTGTATAGATCTAGTAACGTTACTGATACCTCGGGGGAGACAACACACACGGTTATCTTAAATAATCAGGTAGAGGCATCTAGATTAAACGAACCCATCACTAGGGAGGAAATATTCAAAGCGGTGGAGGCTGCAAAGTTAAACAAGGCCAAGGATTTGATAAACTACCAGTGGAAGTATTAAAAAATGATACAGCAATAGGATTACTCTACACTATTTGTCAGGGATGTTTTGAGCTTAGTAAAGTACCGTCAGAATGGGACAAGGGAATTATTAATCCAATATTTAAACCTGGATCTGACGACAGGCGAAATCCGTTAAATTATCGCGGAATTACTCTGATTTCAGTACCGTGTTAGATTTATTGTTATATTTTAAATGCCAGATTGAGCACCTGGATGGAACAGAGTGATGTCTTATGCGACGAACAAAATGGATTCAGAAAAGAAAAACAGTGAGTGCAACAAAAACAAGTACAAATACATGAGAAATAAAGTAAATAATATGATTAAGAGAGCTAAAGAAATATTTTATGATAGCATAAATACAGCAATTGATAAAAGTAACAACAATCCAAAGATTTATTGGAAACTTCTCCGAAATATTCTTAAAGCTAAAAAAACCACCGAAATATCCCCGTTATTAGACGGTGATACAAATGAAATAATTTATGACAACGATAGAAAATGTGAACTCTTAAATAACTACTTTAGTTCTGTGTGTTCGTTATCAGAAATTGATACAGACAAAGAATTGCCTTTTTTTGAGAGGAGGACTGACTCCATCTTATCAGAAATAAATATAATTCCCAGTGAAGTTGAAGATATTATAAAAATTCTAGATGTAAATAAGGCATCAGGTCCTGACGGTATTAGCCATAAAATGCTCAAATTATTATCTAGCGAGATTTCTGTACCGCTATCCATTATTTTTAATTATTCTCTGTCTTCTTGTACATATCCTGATAACTGGAAAATCGCTCATGTCATGCCTATCTATAAAGCGAATGATGCAAGTATTACCTCCAATTACAGACCGATTTCATTGATAAGCTGTATTGGAAAACTGTTTGAGCGTTTGGTTTATAAACATGTATATAACTTTTTGATTGAAAATGACCTTTTTTACAAATATCAGTCAGAATTCTTACCTAACCATTCCACAACACATCAACTTATTGAGCTATATCATTCAATAGTTACCTCTTTAGACAATTACGAACATTCTCTATTGATATTTTGTGATTTTTCAAAAGCTTTTGACCGCGTCTGGCACAGAGGTCTAATCCATTAATTGAATAATTATGGCATTTCTGGCCCTCTTCTTCAGTGGATAACAAGTTATCTTTCAAACAGACGACAAGGGTTTTTATCAATGATTCTCTTTCTTCCTTTAATGCCATAAAAGCTGGTGTTCCCCAAGGTTCTGTTCTTGGTCCTCTTTTCTTCCTTATATACTTAAATGATATTTCCTGTGATCTTTCCACTCTCTCTCTCTCGACTTTTTGCTGATGATACCACTCTTTCTTATTCGTCCCAAGACTTAAACACAATTTCATCCAATGCAAAATCTGATCTGAGAAAACTTGAAGTTTGGTCCAAAGAATAGCTGATGTCTTTTAACCCTACCAAAACTGAGGCCCTAGTCATCTCAAATCGGCAAATTCCATTCATCCCTGCATTCACATTTAATAATACCCCCATTCAAATAACTAACCAACATAAGCACTTAGGTGTTATTCTTACTAACGGCTGTAAATGGAATGTTCATGTTGAATATATTGTCAGTAAAGTAACCAAATGTATAGCAACCCTTCGTAAACTAAAACTTATTTTAAAAAGAAATACATTAAAAAACTATATCTTACTTATGTTCGACCACTACTTGTGAAGTATGGGACAACTGCAGTGAAACAAATGCCCTGTTACTAGAAAAAAATCCATCCAGAAGCTGCAAGAATAGTCACAGGGCTGCCCACATTCGCTAAAAAAGATTTCTTATATCAAGAAACCGAATGGTTACCCCTTTCGAAAAGAAGAGATGCTCGGAAACTTTCCTTGTTTTATTCTATAGTAAATAACATGGCACCTAAATTTCTTACTGACTTATTACCAATGTATATTGGAAATATAGCTCCGTATAATTTGCGAAATGCACATTTACTGCGGGAACAGCACTTCCGTTTACAACTATCAACAAATTCTTTCTTTCCTTCCACATTAAAATTCTGGAACAACTTGAACAACACTGTAAGAAACTCACCCTCACTAACTTCTTTCAAGTCTAATGTTAAAAAGTCTATGATAGTAAATAATTTGTTTAGCAAGCATTTCGTAAACTATGGACCGAATAAATTAAATATACTCCTTTGTCGTCTTAGAAATAGAGCTAGCTCATTGCGACATAAACGTAGATATTCTTTGTAAAGGTGACCCCAACATCTCACCAAACGGTAATATGAACTACCCAAGGCTGCACAGCATTTCCTAGGAAGATCGGGTAGATTTGACTAACTACCAACCCCACTCCTCTCAATCCAACCTCCAACCCCAGTCCTGTCTCCTGGTTCTTCTCTTACCGTACCCCAACCCCACCCCCCCCCCCCCCCTCTCTCTCTCTCTCTCTCTCTCTCTCTCTGATAAGTTGGAAAAACTTACCGACTAATCCTTTTGTCAATATGTTGTCAATAAAATATGTTTAAACTAAACTCACAGTTTCACACCATGGTAGACATATAAGTCTTAGCGCTGACTTCCGTATTGCGATACTGTACGAATTTATTGAAATATCAAATCGGTACAGGTTCGGCCCATGATACCGGGGCAGGTTCGGCCCATGATACCGGGGCAGGTTAGATCCAGGAAAGTGGAAAGTCGTGACAGTTATTGTTAGTATTATCTTTATTTCCTCCAACTGAAGATTACAGTGCATTTTGGTATCAATAAAGGCAAATAATATAATAATGAATTCAGAACAATGGATAATTCAAACATCTGGACACTAGGTAAAGTATACACGTGTTTATAGTACATTAAAGTTTCTCCTTAACACTTGTACAAGCATGTGGATAAAATCTTCTTAATTTATTTATCCACATGCTTATACAAGTGTTAAGGAGACTTTTTAATGTACAATGTACGTATACTTTACCTAGTGTCCAAATGATATATATATATACAATTTTTGTTACATGTATGTAATTATCCATTGTGTTGATTTCATCATTATATTATTTTAACGTGTCATGAATACGTGTGTATTTTCCAATTGAACAAAGATATATAGGAATACTCTCAAATCAGCTGCTGTACACTCTCAACATGGTATAGGCGTTTACCACAGAAGCAATCTTAAATTCTTCCAATTAATTATTATCTAAACTGAAGTTAACTTTGCCTCCAAGCAGGTGATACATTATTTCATTTTCAGGTAACGAATGTATATAGTAGACATATATATCTGCTATACTCATCCACAACTTATCTCAAATAGTATCCGTAAAATCATATCTTAATACAACACGTTCTGTATGGTTTGGGAAGAGCTCACTACTGTGACATGTGACAAAGGTTTGTAGTTTTACCGTTTCCGATAGTTACAATAACATTCATCAGCATCTCAAGTTATCTTTGTACATGGATTTTTTTCTTTGATAACAACCATAAAGAGTGCGGCTGTAACTTGTTATGAATGGGAACGAATTTGCCGAAATCATTGTCATTTGAGGTACGTTCCCCCTAAAATCATTTCCCCGAAATTGGTTGAAACAGACACTTTCACTATAGTTTTCCAGTTTCTCTTATCAGGAAACTTACAATTATTTATAAATTCATGCACATATAAATTTGTACAAACTTATGTCTTAATTATTCTTAATAAAACTGGACAGAAACTCCAGAAATTGCAGACAAATAAAGTTAAATAATTCTCCAGAAACGGACGTGTTTGTCGATTTTTAATAATTTTCTAAAATATATTGATTTTCTTTTTCAAATGGTACGCATAAATATCAACAAGGGACATAAAATGTCCAGAACAACTTTCATAAAAGACGGCCGAACTTGCCTCAAATCTCACCTAACGACGAAAGTTTTGTTTTATTCTTTCCTTTAAATTGTCCATGTAACGATAAGCAGCTGCCAAAAAACTTATATACCGTTAAATTGTCATAAAAATACCATCAAGTGAAAACTGCTTACATAAAAATAGTTCTTTACATTGCATTATACTTCACTAGAGTTTCTTGGGCCGTTTTACATCAAGTGTCCTGTTTTTTGTACAGTGGTGTAATCTAGTTAGCCAAAACTTTTTTTTTCCTTCGATTTTTTTTCTTACATCAAATAATGATCAATTCTTCATTTTAATTAGATTTTCCGCAACAATAATAACATTCAAATTCCCATTCTGTCATGATTTTATTCTCATTTCCAGAGGAAGAACATGCTGGTGCAGAAAAATATATATCATTACCTCCCCTTACTGGAAGAACTACTTGGTCGCCAGGGGGCTCTTGTTCCTTACTTCCGAGATTTCTTCACCCTCAATACACATCTTGACCATCTGGCATTTCTAGGTCAACATTTACAGGTGCACATGCAGCGGATGATCAATCAATAACATCTTTGAAGTGGAGAACACCAGTGACGATGACCCGTCGGATATAAGGTACCAGATAACGACATGCAAAGATCTGTAATGTATAAATAACTGTTGCTGAGCGCAAACATTTCATGTGATTTCATTTTGAACAGTTTAATGTTTATTCGGTTTCAATTGTTACTTAAGAGTCACTGACAGTATAGTGTTGATATATTTTGGGTAGATCGCATGTTATAACAACAAGTATTTTCATTGGGTGTGCATTTTGAATATCAATTTAGTTAAAAATTCCTGCACGCGACATATTTTACCGCACAGTTCAGTTGTAATTACGCGGAGCTAGCGTACTCATTTGACATAACAGTGACCACCAATCCGATCAAATCACTTTTAACAAAATTAATTTTCAATTTTTAAATATATCTACAGTTCAATGATTAAGCATTAGAATACAAAGCAATGCGACATGTCAACATATAATTAATTATTTAGTTCAAATAGCATGAACAAATGTTATTCAACTTAGATTTTAGAAACACTTGCTATATTGAATCATAAACACTTGCTATATTGAATCATACAAATTCCAAAGATCATGGTAAAATGCTGAAATCCCAACAAGATTTGTTTATTTGAAGCATAAGATATTGAAAATGTTTACTATGTCAAGAACAGTACAGTACATGTATTTGTTGCTGTAGGTAGATCCCCTTTAGTACTAATATTAATACCCGACTTCCCCTGCCCCACGCGGGTATTAAATAGATCCCATGCCTTGTAATGGAGCAAGCCTGATGTGATTCACACCAGGGCGATTTCAGAATTAATTAACAGCACATTGGTCCGCATCCATAAATAAGGTTGTAGTATGAACTATTTCTGTTGATATCATGTATAACTAAGTTAAACTCTGCCTAAAATGTCGTTAAATTATCAAGTTAACGTAGCAAGCGCAATTGAAATCTGAATTGACCGCCATGTTGGAAAGTTCGTCTCTCTTCCGATATAGGTCAGAATATGGGCGTCATGACCCAATATGGAAATTGTAGTAAACATGGCGGCATCATTAGTAAAACTATATTTGGTCATGCAGGCCATATATAGAAAGGATAATTAAGATAACATCACACATGATCTGTCATGGCAGTCGTTTCCATTCTTTTCCCCAAAATGGCCTTGGCTAATTTTGTGAAAGAGTTTTTTCATTGGTAAGAATCAGTTTTTTCAACAATTATGCAATATTCTGATAATTAACATTATACTCATATGAGGAGTGCATTATATGCAATCTTACAGATTAGCACTTGATTTTGCTCCATTAGTTGGCATAGAACCGCTTTGTAGCTCTGACGACACAATAAATAAAAAAATCTCTCGTCATCAGAAAGCTACGTTATCACAGCTTGATCCCCTTGAGCTTACTAGTTCTTGTTTATTTGTATATATGATTCTAAATAAAGCTTTTGGTTGTCATTTATCATAATTAATACACCACAAAAAGATGGTCAGAACATGGTAACTTCACAGCTGTCACTACATACATAGAATTTCTCTCAATTTGTAAGTCATTTAAAGGTACATTAATGTACTTTTGTTACTTCTTAGATAGTTTTTGAGCTCACCTGTTTATATCTGGAGGGCAAGCCAAGTGATCTGTTGTAGTGCGTCATCCCACTGTCACCATTTCAATTAACATAACAAGTCATTTTTTTAAGAGTAAAACATCACATTTGTATTGTGTGTATATTTGAACTTGATGACCTGGGGATTCTATTAAAACACAAGAGGCCCAATGGGCCTGCATCACTCACCTGGTATTAATCTCGCAATTGTAACCCTGGAAGTGGACTAAAATAAAGCTACAGGCAAAATATCAGTGTCTTGACTTAAACGATTTAAACACATTTGACCCTTGTGACCTTGAAAGTCAAACATGGACATTAATTTGAACAAACTTTATAGCCTTCATCTCAGGATGAAACTCGCAAAATATCAACACCCTATCGTTTTGTTTATTGAAATTAGGTCATTTAAATGTTTAAACATATTTGAAAAAATGTGACCTCGAAGTCAAGGTCATTCATATGAGAAAGCTTGATAGCCCTTCATCCAAGCATGCTACTAGCTAAACATCAACATTCTGGACCTCATGGTTATTCAGAAGAAGTTGTTTAAAGATTTTAAACATATTTGACCCCTGTGACCTTGGGCAAAGGTCATTCATTTGAACTAACTTGATAGCCCTTCATCCAAGCATGCTTCTGACCAAATATCATCAATCTTGGCCTTTTGGTTATTCAGAAGAAGTTGTTTGAATGTTTTAAACATATTTGACCCCTATGACCTTGAATATTAGTCAAGGTCATTCATTTGAACAAATTTGGTAGCCCTTTATTCTAGCATGCTTCTGACCAAATATCATCATCCTTGGCCTTTTGGTTATTCAGAAGAAGTCGTTTCAAGATTGTAAACATATGTGACCCTTGTGACCTTGAAAATGGGCAAAGGTTATTCATTTGAACAAACTTGTTAGCTCCTCATCCAAGCATGCTTCTGGCCATATATCATCTTCCTGGCCATTTTGGTTATTCAGGAGAAGTCGTTTAAATGTTTTAAACATATTTGACCCTGTGACTTTGAATATATGTCAAGATCATTCATTTGAACAAACTTGGTAGCCCTTTATCAAAACATGCTTCTGGCCAAATATCATTAGCTTGGGCCTTCTGGTTGTTCACAAGAAGTAATTTATAGATTTTTAACATATTTGACCCCTTTGACCTTGAATTTATTTCAATGTTATTTAAAAAAACCTTGGAAGCATATTATCCCTGTATGATACTGGCCAAATATCAATACCCTAGGCCTTCTGGTTATTCTGAAGAAGTTGTTTTAAAAATATTTGACCCCTTTTACCTTGAATATAAGTCAAGGTCATTCAATTGAACAAATTTGGTAGCGCTTCATCCAAACATGTCCCTGGCCAAATATCATCACACAGGGCCTTCTTGTTAGTCAGAAGAAGTTGTTGAAAGATTTTATCAGTTTTGACCCCTGTGATCTTTGAAATGGACAAAGGTCATTCATTTGAACAAACTTGGTAGCCCTTCATCCCAGCATGCTACTGGCCAAATATCATCACCCTGGGCCTCTTGGTTATTCAGAAGAAGTTGTTTAAAATAAAAAGTTGACACCGTACAGACGACAGACGCTGCACCATGGCATGGGCCAGGTGAGCTAATAAAAAAAACCCCATAAAATTGCTGTTTTTTTAGCCTTGTGCATGTAGCAGGAAACAGGCATATATTTTCAAATTTAAAATATAAATTGAGATTTGGGGATTTTGAATTGGATTGGACAGTTACTAGCGAGAGCTTATTATATTTAGACAAAAATGAACAATGAAATAATCAGAAATTATGAATTTCCTTTTTGCTTAATATAAAGGAATTGTTTGAATTAACAGGCATACTAATTGATGCAAAATTTACACAGACATACTATGTATTCATATTTTTTTTATAATATCGTAAATATTTTATGTATTTTTTTCTGTTTTGTAGTACAAATTGTACCCTTTCAGATTTTAGAGTTTTAAATTTTATGTAAATATACTGTAGCCAGTTATCCTTAAGGCATTTTCTGATTGGTTAAAAAACTAAATATGCAGTAAACAGGGACAAACATGCAAAAATAGAAATAGATTAATAAATTTATCTAAACCTTAAGTTTATACAAACAAAGTTTTCTCTTGGAAATAGCACAGAATGCACCACAGCCACAGCAATTTAAATCTAAAGATTTTCCCTGGGAGGGGGGACATGCCCTCATACCCTCCCAGCATGGTATTTCACCTTTGGTGCTCTCAGTTTCGCTTTGCTCAATAATGGCTTCATTGAAAATGTCTCACCCAAATTCAAAATATCCCTTTCTCTTGAAATTCAGGGGAGAAAAATCCCCTTGCAATTTAAACCCTGTGGGGTCCCTCTGTCTGTAACATCATAGAACTCTTATTCAAAGAAGGCATCTTTTGAAATGCAACATTAGTAATATTGTACATTCATTATATAGTTATTGGATTTATCTAATCAGAGGTATAAAAGTTAAGGTGTATTATACTTATATGTAACAAATTTCTTTGCTGTTTATTGAAGAGCCTATTGAGAGCTGATTTAAAAATGAGCGATGGTAGTATATTAACATTAGTGCATATACTTCATATACATTTTATGTAATAGGATACACCGATTGACATGGTACAGACTACTGGGAATGATCACAACTTCAGGTGCTACCTATAGCTACACCTACACTTCACTACACACCCCTTTAATCAGTGAATAGAGCATGCACAATCACGGGATTAGGCATTAATTTAGTACAGTATGTAAAAATACATGTATATGCTAAAGATGTGCATTGATTAGTTTGCCTTACAAGTGTCAGCTGTAGGGAATTACCCTTTAGCCAGCGGTAGAGCATCGGGCTGGAGAGCCAAGGGTCGCAGGTTCGAGCCCCAGTGACAGCACTATCTTTATCACTATTCCTCGTCCTATTACAAATATATATACTAGTATACCACATAATTCACACCCAGGTAACTTGAAAATTTGGCTATAAGGAAGTCAAAAGTGAGTTGAGTTTGTATGTGTGTGTGGATGCTTATTAAGATAACAAAAGTAAGTTATTGCAGGTGTAAAGCAACATTTTGAGGGAGTATTCCAAAATTATTTGTTACTATTTTAAAACCACAGATCAAACAGCCATGAACTTGAAACAGAAGTGCCTAATATATAATATTTACTAAATATTATGTGTATTATATTAAGTTCATCTGAGCAGACCAGTATGGAGAGTGTGATTGACATTTAAGAGGAAAAATGTATGTTATTTTAATGTTTAAGTAAGTGCCAAAAATTGGGAGGATATCTATAAAGGGAAGGGCGTTAATTACAGTGAATACATTATATCATTTATATTTAATTATTACACTATATGTCATATAATTCCTTGAGAATGAAAAAATAGATGTACAATGATATCAAATTGACAGATTTACATGATAA